GTCAGTTTCCTATTTACAGTCTATTGACCTTCACATTGCCAATGAGAAATGAGTCAGTGATTCCTTTTAAAGAGGAGAATTAACTAATGTCCTGGTCCATAAAGACGCTGGGTCCAGGACTCAGTATGAGCAAAGGCCCAGAGCTCACGAGTGAGCACAAGCATGCATGGGTCACAGTAATAGAGTGTGGCTCCAAAGCAAGTTCCTCAGGGGAATGTGAGTGTGAGAGTGTGTGTTAGTTCGAGTGGTGTGTGTGTGTGTGTGTGTTTAGGGTAGTTGTCATAGAAAATGTAATTCAAGAGTTAGAATTAGGATCACAAAGATTTTTTGGGCTATCATGAGTTGCATTGCAATCCTCCCAAATTCTGAAATTACATGATTTCTAAATCTGTAACTGAGAATTTATTTACAAATAGTTTTTTGCAATTGGTTAGGTTAAGGAAGTGGTTATTAGAGCGGCCCTAGACAACCTGAGGGTGTGTTATGGAAAGAAGTCTGGACAGAGGCACGCTGAGGAAAAGCTCTACAAAACTACGGGGAGAACACTCTTGACAAGCCACAGAATGCTGGAGTCCATGAGCACAGAGAGGGGCCTGGAAATGATTCTCCTCCAGCCCTCAGAAGGGACCAGTGCTGCTGACTCTGTGGTTTTGGACTTTGTGTCTCCAGATCTGTGAGATGATAAATTTCAGTTCTTCCTGCCACTTAGTCTACTGTGCTTTGTTAAGGCCACCCCAGGAATCTAACTCTCTGCCAAATAAATAAAGTGGATTTAACTGTCCAGGTAAAAGAAAGCCAACCAGTGGGCTTCAACTTAGAGAGAGAACTCTCTCAGTTCTTACCCCTGTTGCTCTTGTTGAGGACCCAAGTTCAGTTTACAATACCCACATTGGCCCTCTTACTGTAACTCCAGCTGGAGGGAGTCTGACACCCTCTTCTGACCTCTGAGTACATATCTACACACACACACACACACACACACACACACACACATTTTTTAAATAGAGTGAAGAATTTTAACAATGTTCTGGGACCTCCATCCATCCTGCCATAGTGTAAATCACCCTCATGGGATGCGCCTTCAGGCTATGGAACACTCTGCTTTACCCAGTCTTATTGGTGCCTGGTCTACTTTCCCCAGCATCATCCCTTTCAGTGTCCTGGAGAGCACAGGGCCCTGATAAAAACTAGCTTTAAGGTGCATGCCTTCATTCCCAGCACTTGGGAGGCAGAGGCAGAGGCAGGTGGATCTCTATGAATTCAAAACTAGCCTGGTCTACAGAGTTCCAGGACAGCCAAGACTATGAAGAGAAATCCTGTCTTGAAAAACAAAACAAAAACAAAAACAAAACAAACAAAAAGGTAGCTTCGTGCCTATCTGGAATGACATTTGAATTTAGAGAGAAAGTACCCCAGTGTCTTGGGTTGTCTTTTCTCCTTTTGACTTGTCTCAGCTAATAGCTACGAGAAATTCATGCTTCATCATTCTGCAGTCACTATTTAAAATCTGTACAAATTCTAAACCATTTCTTTTATAGCAGGGAGGTGGTGTTGGCTAGTGTCGAGAAAGGGGATGGCAGGCAGAAAGGGCTGGAAACCAAGGGACCAACTCCGCCAGAAGCAGCTTCCTTTCTGTGGTTTGGAAAAGGCAGAGTTTGGACTAGATAGTATTTAATGAGAAATCTCCATTCTTGTGTTTGACTTTGTATCATGCAGTTTATTGACTGTGTGTTCTTGGGCAAGTTACCAACAACCTAAAAACCCATAATTCTGTTCTCATATTTGGAAACTAGGGTTATTTGTATGTCATATATTCATCACCACATTTTTAAATGGATATGAAGTTATTGACTAAGATAGGGAAATGTATGATATAGCACAGGCGGTAGTTACAAATTCATTCCTGTGCTTGACATGTTTAAAGTCCATAGAAGGATTCTGTACATGTTGTGCGACCCATAAGACTCCTATACTGAGCTCTGGTGCACAGATGAACACAGTGTGGAAAGGACTGCACTCTGAGCATTTCTGGAAAACACTACAGAGATGGAATTATCTGTATGGCTTCAGGATAGAAGCAGACTCAACTGAATTCATGAGGAATGACATTGGTGTCCAAACACAGTAAAAGGAATGGTGTACCCCTGGGTTCACAGAAAACCCCTGCTTTTACAAAAATATTTGATTCGGATTTCAGTATCAGAATGAGAAGAAAATTAAGGAACCCAGATAAGCTGACTGGTTCACTAAGGTTTGCCCTCTTAGTACCAAGTACTATTATGAGCAGATTCTTCCAATCAGATTCACATCCTACACTAACTCAAATAAAGTCATCCTTTGTACCCACATCAAGACAACCCCCTTCCCCAGAAGACACTGAAATCTATGATTGCCCAAGCCCCTCATATAAAATGGTTACATTTGTGTATACCTACAAGCCTTCCAATGTACTTACTCTCTGTTACCCATTGGACTTGGTACAATGTGAACACTGTGTAAAGAGTTGCTGTATAATACTATTTGGGGAATAGTGACAAGAAATAATGAGCCTGATGTTTTGGTTTGCTTTTTGTTGCTATGATGAACACTTTGGCCAAAAAGCAACTTAGGGAGGGTTTATTTCATCTTAACACTTTCTAGTCTCTCATAAAAGGAAGCCAGGGCAGGAATTCAAGGCAGGAATCTGGAATCATGAACTGAAGTAGAGACTTTGAAGGAGTATTGCTCATTCACTGGCTTGGTTCCAAGCTCATGATCAGCTACCAATTTCTTATAAAGCCCAAGCTCACCTTCCTAGGGATGGTGCTGCCCACAGTAGACTTGACCTTCCTATATCAATCAACAATTGAGAAAATGATCCACAGATGTCCTCACAGGCTAATCTGTTGAAGGCAGTTCCTCAACTGATGTTCCCCTTCCCCAAGTGGGTCTATCTGACAATAAGATTAGTTATCACACTTGGATATGTTTGAGACAGAAAAAACAAATTTTCACAGTGCTAGAGATCAAACATAAGACCTTACATATGTTAGACCCTGACATAGCCCTCTATACTGAGTTATACTCCTGGGTCATTAGAACAATACTTTAGTTCACTATTGGTTTGAACCCTTGGACACAAAGAGCTGACTGTGCTTGATACTCATGGAAAGCTCTGAATGTAGCTAACAAAGTGGTTGTCCTGCTTGGCAGTGAGACCAAACTTTCCCTCCCATTTATATTGCCTATTCTGTAGTGAATTTTCTAGTAATGGATTACCCTGAAGTGCAATCACCAAGACACGAATGTGAGGCAATGGGAAGAGTCTTCCCTGTGCTGTTTCTGGGCCTTTGACTTTAACTGCATTATCCCATCTGAGTCCAGCAAGATAGCTCTGAGAGCAGCCAAGAAGTTCTTTGTATTTCTGATGGGTGCCAACAAAGTCAAAAACATAGGCATCAACAGGAAACACTGTCATCTCACTGCAGGTAAGGTTTTATAAAGCATGAGACACCTTTGAGCTGGCCTCCTCCTGAGACACTCCAGGACAAGGATCATGAAGGAAGGAAGCCCATGTCCAGACTACAGAGGGCCTGATGACCAGAGTGGCCCAACCTCCTTGATCTTCATTTTTATGCCCTCAAGGCTGGAAGGTTAACATCACAGCCAACATGCTTCACAAAAGCATCAAGAGAAGTCAAGCATAAATTGTTTCCTGAATGCTCATAAAACACACTTATGTTTTCTCTGGATGGCAGACAGGGGACACAATAACCTTCCTCCATCACTTAGAGTTCTAGACATAGCAAAACCTGACTTTGACAGTGAAGGCAGCTTATCAGGTGGACAAGGGGAGTTGTAATGGGCTCTCAATTTTGTGGTATCTAATTTTTATTAAAGCAGAAGAGTAGCTGACATAAGAAAGGTAAACAAAAGAGAAGGACAGCCAGGGCCAGACTGGGAAAGGTCTGTGTGACAAAGTAATGATGCTAAGTTATCATCGTCTGTAGCCAGCAACACCCGGGAAGAGAGAACTCGGGCAAGGAAGTAGATTAACTTTTAAGGTCAGTCTTTCAAATCAAAGAGACCATAACAAATCAACCTCAGCTATTCTGGGGTTATGGCATTTCAAGCTCCATAATCTGAGACCTAAGGCAAGATAGAAGTAAACATGTCCTTATATGCTTCTTTGTTGCTGTGATAAAACATTGACTGGGAGGAAAGGGTTTTTTGGTGTGTGTGTGTGTGTGTGTGTGTGTGCGCGTGTTGCTTGTTTGTCTTGCCTTTTGCTTTCAGCTTACTGTCCATCTTTGAAAGAAGCCAAGGCAGTAATTGAAGCAGAGGTCATGGAGGAACTGTCTTGTTCCCTGTGGCTTGCTCAGCTTGCTTTCTTATACAACCCAGCTTCCCAGGGGTCATACTGCCCACCCTGTGCTAGGTCTTTCCACATTAATCATTAATCAAGTAAATGAACCACAAACATGCTTATAGGCCAATCTGATGGAGGCAGTTCCTCAGTTCCAATGACCTCTTCCCATGTGATTCTAATTTGTGCCAAGTTGACAAAAACTAACCAGTACAGAATGGTAGCAGCATCTATCTGTGAGTTGTGACAAGCAGATCACTGAGTTATCCACAAATACAGTTGAAGCACCTGCTGAGGGCCCATGTGACCTCTCCTTCAGATGCTCTGTCATCAGAGGGAGAAGTTCCTTTGTGGAGATTAGGCAGAAGAAGTGAACACACTAGCTCATTTTTACAATAGCAGGCCAGTTTATGTCCACTGATGTTGATGCAAATGAAAGTCAGGCGTAAGAGGAATTCTGCATGGCTCAGTTGCCTGTGAGTGTACCCCAAAGAAACTGGGGCCACAGTGTAACTTGAGCAGACTAGAGCTCTGAGTGGGCTCAGTTGATCTAGTTTGATGAGTTTGTGAGTCTCTGCACAGTGAGTTTCTCTCTGAAGGCAGCTGTTACTGTCACTACATCATTTCTATCCTAGCAGCATAAGGCAGCACATACCTGGGTGGGCAGGGTTCCGTGTTACAGGCCTGGCTCATTGCTGGAGGACGGTGAACCATGTCACAGAGGCTGTCATTGACGGTCTGCTGGGTCTGGATGTGTAAGCACACAGCAATGGCTTCTTGATGGCCTGAAAGGCAGAAAGAGAAATGACACATATACAGAACATCTCACCATGCAAAGAAGAAAACAGGATCTTGGGACTTTACATCACTAGGACATTGCCCTTTTGGCTGCATCCGAAGCCATCTTTGAGAAAAGCCCAAGACTCCAGCCCTTGACACTCCTTTATTCACCTCTAGACTGTCCTTCTTCTCTCTCTGCCAAAATCTCATTAGCTGGAAACAATTAGGAGCAGCCAACACTCAGAATCAGCTGCTTCCCAAGGGAGTCTAGGTGTATGTCTGCAGTCAGGGTGTATCTTCCCATCACAGACAGCAGGTTTCCTAAGGGAAAACTTTACATGTTCTGCTAAAGAATATCGTTGTTTTTCTAGATCACCACCCATTGATAAATTCAGTTTGAATCATATAACTAGAAAGTGATTAGTGATGTTTTTTATTTGCAGAAATGCCCCCCATTGCACAAGCATGCAATGTGCTTTCACCAAATTCTACAACAACTCATGAGGCCATGTAAATGGAATTCATATCTCCATTTTACTTAGATAACAATAAGAAGTTTAGAGAGAAACTAAGACTGAAATGGTGGTAAAATAAAAAGTGAAGATTTGGCCTGGGGAGATGGCTCAGCTGCTAATGTGCTTGTTGCACAGGGTTGAGTGAGGACCAGAGTTTAAATCCCCAACCCAAATAAATGTTTGGTGGGTGTGGCCATTCATATGAATTCCAGCCTCAGAAGGCAGAGCACTGGGATCCCCACAGCAGGATGCCTGGGGAGACTAACTAAACCCATATCCATAAGCTCTGGGTTTGATTAAGAGACTCTGCTTCAGTGAGTAAAGTGGATGACTGATCAAAGATGATTCCTGACATCACTTAGGGCCTCTACATATACATCCACACATGTGAGCACAGACTTGTGGAAGAATGCATGTACACATGCACAAAACACACACACACACACGCACACACATACACACACACACACACACACACACACACACACACACACACCTGAGAATGGAAAGATAAAAAAAATAGATAATTAGGTGGGGAAAAAACATGGAAGAATAAATTCCCTGCCTCTGGATTCAGTGGCCTCTGTCTTGAATTCTAGAATATGTCATGGCCTTCACATGTGGCAATTGTCCCTTGTATAAATGTGAACATCCATGGGCATATTTTCCCTTGGAGGCCAGACAGACAAATCTATGTGACTCCTAAAGCCAACACTCTTGATCAGTATTCTTTGTCTGTTGAGACAAAAATGAAAAATTATTGGAAACTTGGAATTGGGTGAAATGTAACTCAAACTTTTGATGAAAAATATCTAACGAAAACAGTGGCTGTTATTTGAAATACACAAATATATTCACTTTCATGTCGGATGCACATTCCGTTATGTTACAAGTTTGTGACCCTTTTTCTGAATGCCATGTTTCAATTCAACCATTTTACAGCATTTTGCAGAATGTAGTCTAGGCCAAAATACTTGTAAGATGGATATTTTCCTTGTTCAATTCTGATAAATCTTCTCCCACTGTCTTCATCTGCATTGTTATGCTCACTGCAATGGCCAGAGGCAGTCAGCAGGCATCCTTTTTGAGTGTTTGAAACAAGCTCTGACTACCCCCAAATACAAGAAGACATGGTTACAGCCCAGTAACTCTGACTTTTATTTCAAAATATCAAATCCCATAGTAGCTTCATAGGAGAATGGATGCTCATTTCCTAATAGATTCTGATTTTTAAATATAAGAAAACTGCAGTCATATTTCAAATGCATTTCAACTTGTAACAAATTCTTTAGAAAACATATTCAGAATATTTTGAAATATTTTATGGATACTGACTGGGGGAAGATCTTAGAGAACCACTTGAAATCATTTGGATAGAATTTACAATACCCATGACATACTTTTTGCCAACAGAAAAAAAGTTAAAGAATCTACTAAGTAATTTGGAATATTTATTGCCATAGAATATATTTTCCAAAGGTGGCCACAAAATATTTCCTAGTCCACATTTTGATCCAGCAACATGGTTTTAACACTTCTTACTTCTGGAGGAGGTTTGATCAAATAGTTACCTTTAAAAAGGTAAAATTTAAAATTTATCAAAATAAGCTCATCTTATTCCTAACAAAATTCAGGTCACTACATTTACATGCCTAAAACATGTTAATTAATGTGTTCAGTGACATGTATATAATAAATTTCTTTTGTTCCATGAGAATATATCCCTCATACTTGATTTTTATAGCATTTTGATAAAAGTACCATTTCCTAATTATACACATGCGCGCGCGCGCACACACACACACACACACACACAGAGAGAGAGAGAGAGAGAGAGAGAGAGAGAGAGAGAGAGAGAGAGAGAGAGTCATATGCCAAAGACAAGGAAACATTCAAAGAAATACGTTACTGGGTAATCTTTCATTGTTCAAACATAGTATCCTTGAACAAACAAGGCAGAAGTGACATCTCTACAAGATACCACATTATGGGCTCCTCATCATGTATGTTATGGCACCTGGTCACATCAGTATGCACATGCTTATAAAAAATACACTCAAAGTCTTCATCAAGAAATAAATAAACCAATGATGAATGTGAAAACAAAGATTCTAATAGTGGAAGCAGAGCCAATAAAAGTATACAGCCAGGAATTGTGGCACGATCATTGAATCCCAGCATTTGGGAGGCAGAAGCAGGCAGATCTTTATGAGTTTGAGGTCAGCCTGGTCTTCACTATGAGTTCCAATCCAGCTAGGGCTACATAGAAATACCCTATATCAAAAAACAAACAAACAAAAAACCCCCAAGAACAAATAAATTTATTTTTGTTGATTTTGATCAGTTTGAGTTAGGTTATTGACAAGTTCACACCACACCCTCACATATAAGGGGTGTGGGTATGTGTGATATGTGCCTGGAGGAAGGTGTGTGATATGTTGCACGTGTGATATATGTGTATGCGATATGTGTATGTGTGTGATATTTGTATGTGATGTATATGTGTGTGCACACACATGCACCTGGGATCATATTTAAAAGAGTAGTTAGTATGATTAAGTGTAGACTACTGCAACCCTTCAGGTAATGAGAAGAGAGGATACAGAGTATGTTATGGACCCAGAGAAGTCCAGAGAACAGTGCCACACTTTAGCAAATGTGCACATCGCACAGTGTCCAACACAGGTGCCTTCTTTTCAGGAACCCATCGAGACACAGCTGGTAAAGATTAAAGGTTGTTGAAGGCTGTTTGGCCTTATGATGGACACCATAAACATCACTGGAGCCTGACAGGAAGTGACCAATTATATCAAGAGTAGCTGGAAAAAACTACAACTCGTGGCCTGTCAAGATTTGAAGGGATTTGGAGAAAGCAAAGCAGTGAGGGCTAATGTACCGTGTCAGGAACACATCTCCACAGGGAGCATGTTAAAATGAGTCCAGAGTGAGATGATTCAACTTTTATTCTCTTTCACTGCTTGTAGGACTCATCAAGAGAAAGAGCCACTTTCTATATGCCAAGACATGTCAATGTTAAGGTTTTCAAGATGTATAAATAGAAGTATCCATGGTCCTGAGCTTGGAGGGAGAGAAGTTAAGTTTGGGGCAAACATGACAGCTTTGGGGGACACTGAGGCTCTGGAAATAAGAGACATGGTTTGTGTTTCAGGTCCAAGTAAGCCAGAAAGGCTAAAGTCCTAGTGAGATTGAATGAATTTCTAGGAATGAGGGAACAGCAATTGAGAGAGGGAAAGAAATGGAGGCAGTTAGGGCTCTTGTATAGCCCAGGCTGGCCTCAAACTCACTAGCAGAGGGTGATCTTGGAAATCCTGATCTCCTTGCCTTTACTTCCCAAGTGTCGGGTCTACAGGCATGCCCCACTGCACTTAACTCAGCTATGGGTTCTTTTTCTAAACAGCTCCCCCCCAGGACAGCCTCCCCCCACAAAACAGTAGCTTTGCTGTAGCCTGAAGTAAGGTGCATGCCACTTCAGCTGGGCTCAGTGCCAAGGTGGCAGTGTGACAGAGCAGAGCTCCAGGATGTGTGTGCTCAGAGACTGAAATAGATAGGGAAGGGAAAGATGGTCAGGGACACTGGAGGGCAAGGATTGAGAATTCAGTCTCAAGCATGAGGAGCTGAGTCACAACTTGAGTTCTTACCTACTAGGGAATTCCAAGCCACCAGCTCAAGACCACCAGGAAGAGTGGAGCAGGCCCATGAGCTAACAACTCAGAGATAGCTGCTGCTTTTTCTTTCTGACCTTCTTTGAGGGGTGACACCAGAAGTGCCAAGGTAGTTAGCCCACTGCATAGCAACTGGCTGGACAGCTAAGTCAAGAGTTATAGGACAGAGTGTCAGGAGTACTGAATCACAGGGAAACTAGCTTTCCTGGTTGTTACATTTTCTTTTAAATCGTGTGTGTGTGTGTGTGTGTGTGTGTGTGTGTGTGTGTGTGTGTGTGTGCGTGCGCGCGCGCATGTGGGTGAGTACATGCAGCATGCAGGCACAAGTGACTATGAAGGCCAGATATCAACCTTGGTTGTTGTTCCTTAGGAGCCATCCACCTGGCTTCTGAAACATAGTATCTCACTGTCCTGGGGCTCACAGATTAGACCAGCCTTGGCCTAAAAATCTGCTTCACCAACAGGGGAAGAGGTTGACTGGTTAATAGGGAGTAAGTTAGAAAATATAAAAGAAAGAAAGAACATAGTTTTGCTATTGAATGAATTCATCCCCTTTTGACTTTTGATAATTTGCATATCTGGCTTATGTGATATGGTCATATCCTTCACAATAGGCCACGCATCTATCCCTTAGGAAGGGGGTTGAATACCTCCCAAACATGTTGCAGTGCAGGGCGTAAAGCCAGCATACTCCCAGTCGTAAATCATCTCACTGTCTTTTTCCTGGAGAGGGCCACCCAGCTCTGGAGACACAGGACTCTGGTCACAGGCTTCAAGGAGGCAGGGTCGCTCAGTGGGCAGCTTGGGGCCTTCACACTCTTCCTCAGGGAGCTCTGTCTCCGTCTGTGTAAATGTGAGGAGCACCCGACATCTCACCTCACGCACCTGAATGCCAGGCCCACACGTGGTGCTGCAGGCTGACCAGGGTTCTGGGATGAACCTGAGAAACACCAGAAACGAGGAGATTGGTCACATGTGGGGTCACAAGAGGAATGCTATGGTTCTGGTGATTGTCAATTTATGTAGTTAACGTCTTTTGAAATTTACAACCAAAGGAGAGAATTCTTTAAAGACACACTACTTTTGCCTCCACACAAAAAATCGAAGTTCTGAGCTAAGATCAGTGTAGAGCACCACAACATTTCTAAAGATGTAATAAATAAGCCACAAATTAGAGATAATTACAGGATTTCATTTACAAGATGGGTATTTTCCACTTGTCTTTACTCAGCCAGTCATTGGAGAGCGTAGCCTTTGTAAAGGGGAATATTGTTGAACTCTCTCCAGATTTAAGAGCTCATCTGCAGGGTAAGGCAGATGTGTATGCAAAGAGGATGAAGCTGTGGTGTCCTTCCTTGGTGTTTAACAAATACCTGGGCTTTTAAATGTACTTGAACATAGGTGGGAGCCCACAAACCAGCCTTAGAGTGAAACATTTATTCTTTATCCCGAATTATTACCCACTAAATCATAAGGGTTGTCAGACCGGGCCTCTCAAATCAAATCCAGCTTAGAACTGTTCTTATAACAGCCCATCAGCTACAAATGACTTTCATAGTTTGACACTATTGGTGATGAAAGAGGATAATATTTTGTGACACATGAAAATTAAATAGAATCCACATTTTAGTATCTATAATGAAAACCTTACCAGGGACACAGCCACACTCGTTTGTCAACCTCTCATTTATGGCGTTTTTCTGCTACTGGGCAGAACCGAATGTTTACAACAGATCATTTATTATTTGTATCCTAAAATATTTACTCTCTAACCCTCTTCAGAAAATATTTCTAACCCTTGTACTCATTCATTAAAAAACAGGTTCAGTAGGGACATATATACGTAAGGTACTCTGAAGCAATACTTTGTATCACAGGATATTAATAAACTGATAAATGGATGGGGAGGTGGCTTAGTGGGAAAAACTGCTTCCCATATGAGCCTTAGAACCCATTACAAAGCTGGATGCTATCCTAGTGAGCTATCCTGGCCCTCCTATGGCAAAGTGGAAAAAGGAGAATGACCCAGAAGCACACAGGCCAGCTAACCTGGAATATGCAGCATAGTAGCAGAGACAAGAGAGACTCTGCCTCAAACAAGGTAGAAGGTGATTGCTTCTTGACTCCTAAAAGTTTTCCTCTGAGCTCCACAATGCTCTGTAACATACATGCCTCACACACACACACACACCCACACACACACCCACACGCACGCACACATGTATGCACATACACATAACACACGTATGCACATGTACATACACACAAATAAATTTTTGAAATTTAAAAGAAAATAAAGTGATAAATGAAAGAATCCAGTGACAGATCAAGCTTGGAAAACTCTGGGTTGAGTAATGTCAGTCAGCAGGTTTATTTACTCTAACACCTCCTCTAAGACTAGGATATTTGACTTCACACTATACTACATGAGATAAATACAATGTGAATCATTGTATAAGCAGAACTCAGGCTCCAATGTGTCAAACAGTGTCCGTCTGCTAGACATCTGTTAGATAGCAGAGAAGCGAGAAGAGATACAGTTCCCAATATTAATGTCCCAAACTCACTAAGCCTTTGAACAGTGTACTTCCAAAGGCTTCCCAAATCCTGTATGGCATGACTAAGACACTTGAGCAGCTCTCCCCTGGAAGCCCACAGCCATGCTGGGGGGTGGTTTATTAACCTCAGTCTGATAACCCCCAAGCTTCTGTCTACTCTACAGTCTCCTGTGAATACACTCCAGCTCTGCTTCATACTAGCTGGTACTGAAACTATGTTCTGCTGTGAAATAAAGAAACTTGACTTCACTTGAGGACCCATCTCTAAAGAGAATTTCGGTCCCTGCCTCCAACCCAACTGCTGCAGACATGAGCACCTGTCAAAACTCATTGAGGGTGCCCCTTAAACAGATACGACTTATGTATACACCAAGTCCCATAACACTCATCATTAAAACTGCTACTTTTACAGTGAGAGGGAACTTGGAAAGCAAATATTGAAGAGAATCTAGATAGCGACATAAAGTGGAAAGCATTTTCAAAAATTAAACAAGGATAAAACACATTTTGGAAAGGTGAATTGTCTTCTAGGAAAAAAATGTGATAAATTTTTTTTTCTAACATCTAAGTCTAAAGTTGTAGGTAGTGTAGTAGCTTCCACTCATATCCCCATGCTGTAACCCTCAGAATATGTACTCACACCATAGTCTACAGCAAGGAGGACCCAAGTGAGGTTACTAAGGTTATAAGTTTAGAGATAATCCTGTGTTGTCTGTGTGGACCCAGTCTCACCAGGCAGGCTTCAGAAACAGGAGTTTCTGAGGTGGAAATTAGAGGTGAGAGGGGCTGTCTTAAGGCCTGAGAAACTCTCAACTCCTGCTGCTGGCCGAAAAGTGGAAGAGGCTACACGTCACAGAATGCAGGTAGACTCTAGAAATTGAGAACAATCCTCCAACAAGCAGCAAGGAAATAGAGATTTCCTCATGATACAACAAAGAAATAGCATGAAAAGGCCAGGCGTTGGTGGTGTACGCCTTTAATCCCAACACTCAGGAGGCAGAGGCAGGCCGATCTCTGTGAGTTCGAGACCAGCCCGGTCTACAAGAGCTAGTTCCAGGACAGCCTCCAAAGTCACAGAGAAACCCTGTCTCCAAAAACCAAAAAGAAAAGAAAAAACAAAAAAGGAAAAGAAATAGCATGAAAAGAAAAGTAAATATAGTAGAAGAAAACATCCACGAACCCTAGAAAGATCCAGAATCCAAAATCTCTGACTGGGCTGACAAGATAGCCAGCTGCCAAGCATGACGACCTGAGTTCAATCCCTGGGCCTCATGTGGTAGAAAGAGAGAATCAACTGCAAGCTATCCTCTGACTTCCACACTCACTCACGTGTACATACACAAACACACACACACACACACACACACACACACACACACACACACACACACATGAATAAGCCTTATTTATCAATATTATTGAAACACAAGTCATACCTGAATTTTTTTTAGAGAAGTACTCTAATTTTTTATTGTATGGGCACATATCCAAATAGGCAAATATATAAAACAGTGGAAAAAATAGCTGCCAATAAAGGGAGAAAAGGCAGTTTAGTATAAAAGTAAAACAGAAGGGCTAAAATAACAGGGCAAAAAAAAAGGAAGGTGTAAATATCAGAGAAAAAAATAAAGAGGTTGGCATTGGTGCTGCACACCTACAATACCAGCATTTGGGAGGTGGAGGCAGGAGAATGGCAAGCTAGAAGACTTTACAGTCTTCCGGTGGACACCTTGTCTCAACAAACAAACAAACAAAAATTGTTCTCCAGTCAAAGAATAAGCCTAATAGACAAGATATCATGGTTTGAAATTTATCTGATAGTTACAAAACATAAAATTAACTGAAAACTTTTGGGAAATTTTTTTTTAAATTTCATAAATATATCTATGTATAAATGTGAAATGTAGATATGTAACATAAAGTGATTAGTTTCCCCAGAATTCAGCTAACACAATGTACATCTTACATAGATGATTTAATATAGTTGTTGTATTACCTCCTTAATTTTATAAGTGATAAAAGTCAGCTCTTAGAAATATAAGAACATTTCTATAATTCTATGATCTTAAAAATGAAAGTTTTATGCAGAATATGCTGGTCTGATACAACTAAAACTCTGCAGTGCTGGGTGAGGTCCAGTAAGACGAAACAGCAGGTACAGATGCGCTCTGCCACATCTAACTCAACCTGAGTTCATTTCCCAGGCCCCACATGACGGGAGGAGAGAAGTGACTCATGGAAGTGATGCTCTGATCTCCACACACATGTGCTATGGCACGTACATGCCCATGTGCACACACTAATAAATAAAAATTAAGTTTTAAAAATGTGAAATGTTGTATAGATTCTGACCCCAAAGACCTGAACAAATTGAAAGGCCATCCTCTACCCTGGAGCAGAAGATCAGAACTACAAAGACTGTTGATTTCCCCCAAACTGGTCTAATTTCAGTCTAAATATCTGAGGTCATTAGAGTTGGGGGCCAAAAAGGCACAACACAACTCTAAAGTTTTATGGAAGATTGAGAACAGCATGAACATCTCTAAGAGAAGATGCAATTATAGAGTAATTGCTTACACTGATTCAAAAACATAGAATTAACAGGTGAAAACTGGGAATTGGAGAGATGATTAAACAGTTAAAAGCACTTGCTGTTCCATAAAAATAAATTTACCTTGATTTTTATTATGTGTATGGTGTTTTGCCTGCAAGTCTATCTGTGCACCACATGTGTGCAGTGTCTACAGAGGTCAGAAGAAGGTTTATGATGCTCTGGTACTGGAGTTATAAACAGTTGTCAGCGGGCCTGTGGGTGCTGGGAATCGAGCCTAGATCATTAAGAAGAGAAGCCAGTGCTCTTATCTGCTGAGCCATCTCTCTAGTCCCCAATTTTATCCAATTCTATTTAATCTTCAGCTCTTGCATAGGACCCAAGTTCAGTTCCAAGCTCCCAAATGGTGACGCACAACATACAAAACTCCAGTTCCAGGGAATAAGACACAGTCTTCTGGCCTCCTCGATCATTAGACACACAGGTGACAGATAGTCATATATACAGGCAAAACAATCACACACATAAACAAATCTGAAAATGTATTTCAAAAAGATAAAATAACCCAAATAATATGGTACCAGCAATGAAATATTAACTCATTAATGACATTTAAACATCAAGGTGGGGACATTTTGGATCATTCAACTATGCTCAGGCAATCGTTTAGTTGTTTTGAAAGAAATTAAGTTATGCTAATTTTTATAAACCACATGGTAATATAAAACCCTCCATGATCCAAAGTTCAATACAAAAAAATATTAAATGGGGAAGGATATTTTCTTCAAAGATAGTTTTTCAATGTTAATTTAGTGCTACTGGTAGTGAGGG